ACAAAGCGAATAGTGCAATGAAATCGGAAAAAGAGGCAAAATTTTTCACAAACATTGTAATAAATGTTCAAATATTAGTTTTTCCCGCGTAAAATGCTCTACTTAGGGTTTTAAAAGATTGTTTACATGGCAGGTCCTCGTTGCTGGCCACCTGAGCAACTTTGGTTTAATTACCCAAGTAGAAAGATCGTGACTGACAAAAAGTTATCAGATCGGCTCGCGCTATAGCTCATTCGATAGAGCCCAAAAAGTTGATCTAGAGGTTTAGTAATTGGTTTAGCTGTTTCGGGGGTCCCAAGGGGTGTTTTGGGGCTTCAAAGTTGAAAATCAAGTGCAGCGCGCAGACGTCGTTGTTTTCGCGGAAATAGCACGCTAATCGCGGAGAGATTGACAGCACGAGCACGCTGCTTCGGTGAAAACAGCGGAAGAGTACTGCCGTCGTATCTGACCAATCAGCGGAGAGTGGGCGTGGCCACTTCGGACGGGAGCCTCCGTGAAAGCTCGATCGCTGGCTGTTTTGAGTGCATTGGGGGGAGTGTCGGGTGCAGCTCGGTTCGTAGTGGAGCGATTTGACTGAAATTTTGGGAATCGAGAGCGAGTTGGTGTATGAAGAGCTGCTAGAAATTTGAGTTTGATTGGTTGTCGGAGAAAAAAGTTGGTATTTGGCCTTGTTCATCAATTTCTATGAATTCCTAGGAGAATTCGGGATGAATTGAGTGATAGAGCAACTTGCCGCAGCGAGCTGGCTCCTTTTTGCATGCATTGTACTCACTTGGGGCGCGAAACTGCGTTGAAATGAGTCAAAATGCATCAAAATGAGCTAAAAGGCGTTGTAATGGCGTTTAGATGCGCGCTAGTGCATTGATTAGAGTGCTAAAAGGGCCTATTCTAAGTTAATCAATACTTATCGCACTGATTGTGCGAGTAAATGTTGATTTGTTTCTATTTAATAGTGATTGCTATTCATTCACTCGTCCAGATGGTTGGTTGCTCCACGGCAAATCGGTTGCTCGCTGGCAAATGGGCGCCGCTGTGAACATTTGAAAGCGGTCGTCTGAAAAATCGGATCCAAGGAAGGTTTCGGTGAGTTTTTCTTCATTTTTGTCGTTTCTGTGGTTATATTTTTGAATGTTGTTGTTTTCATTTATGTATTTTGTGGTGCTGTGGGTGTTCTGCCGATGGGGGGTTGGATAAGGGCAGAACTTGAAAGATTCTAGCCCTTTCCAACTCACTTGTCGGCTTTCACCCAAGTTGCACTCATTTCTCCAATTGAGTTGTTTCACTTGGATTCTTTTTTTACTTGTTTGAATGAGTTTGTATGTACGAGTGAGTGTTTTTGTGTGTATAAAAATGTTTTGCTTTCGTTGTATGATTGCATTTTGGTGGTGGATGGCTGTGAGCGAATGTGAGTGTGAGAATGCGCCATGCTTTCGTTCCGCCTCGAATTTTTACATGTATTTGGTGCACGTTTGCTCTAAATGCATAGTTTTTTCAGCCTCCTCTCAACAGGTGAGTCTCTAATTGCATGTGTTTTGTTTACTTTCAGGTTTACTTCGGTGTGAATGCATTTTAATGGTACAGGTATGCTTATTGCTTGTGTCTTTTCGCATTTTCACATGTGTTCTTCATTTTTTCTTGTGCGATTCTTCATTTATGTGCACGTTTGCTTATCGTGTGTGTTGTTTTGCGTTTTATTATGATGTTAGAATGTGTGCGTGTGTATGAAATACGGATATTTTTCCTTGTCCATGTTCTCTTTTCATTTTTTGTGTTTTTTAATTTGAATATGCTATTATATGTTTCAGTAAGAGGTGTTTAAGTGTGTGTATGTGTGAGAGAATGTGTGAGTAAGTGTGAATATGTGTATGTGCTATAAGATTATTTTAATAGACCACACTGATGAGCCCATTCGTTGCTTTTTGGCTGTCTGTGGTTGAGAGGGCGAAACAGCCTTTTCGTAATTCCGCATTTTACTGAAATTGTTGTTTGTTTCCTGTTGGTTTAGTTTGTTTCAGGTTTCAATTCATAACAAAGAATCACAGGTGAGTCTATTATCAATGTTGTTGGTGTTTGATGTTTGATTGAGTCGTTTGGGATGTCGCCAGTCAGGGGTCGCGCCTAGTAGTACCTGGGGCTAGTCGTAAATCTCGCGATGGATATAGACTTGCGTAGAGTTCATAGCACGCCCATTAGCTTTCCATTCATTGCCACTCGTGTTTGCAGATCTCTACAGTTTTCTTACTATCCTTGTTTCATTGTTTGATTGATTGTAATCTATCCAATCTGCTTTACTTCTCACTTCATTCGCTTATTGTTTCACGCTTTTATTGTGGTACTTGTTATGCTTGATAGTTCGATTGATTGTAATCTATTCAGTCTGCTTCAGTTCTCACTTCTATCGCTCACTGTTTCAAGCTTTTCTTGCTATTTCTTATGTTCGATTACCTTCGGTGCCACATGTCATTCTATGGTTGATGTGCATTTTTCAGATGCGCCTACCTGCCTCTTTCATTGCTGGTGCGAATGCGGAATATAAGGAGATGGTGATGCTGGCGGAGCTCATAATCTTTGCGAGAACAGCAACTGGACCGTAAATAAATTACCCAAAAGTTGACTTCCACTCGAAAACAAGAAGTTGTCGGATCAACTCGAGCTATAGCTCATTCGATAGAGCTTGAAAAGTTGTTCAAGGTTATGAATGTTGGTTTAGCTGTTTCGGGGGTCCCAAGGGGTGTTTTGGGGCTTCAAAGTTGAAAATCAAGTGCAGCGCGCAGACGTCGTTGTTTTCGCGGAAATAGCACGCTAATCGCGGAGAGATTGACAGCACGAGCACGCTGCTTCGGTGAAAACAGCGGAAGAGTACTGCCGACGTTTCTGACCAATCAGCGGGGAGTGGGCGTGGCCATTCGGACGGGTGCCCCCGTCAACAGCTGGCTGCTGGCTGTTTTGAGTGCATTGGGGGGAGTGTCGGGTGCAGCTCGGTTCGTAGTGGAGCGATTTGACTGAAATTTTGGGAATCGAGAGCGAGTTGGTGTATGAAGAGCTGCTAGAAATTTGAGTTTGATTGGTTGTCGGAGAAAAAAGTTGGTATTTGGCCTTGTTCATCAATTTCTATGAATTCCTAGGAGAATTCGGGATGAATTGAGTGATAGAGCAACTTGCCGCAGCGAGCTGGCTCCTTTTTGCATGCATTGTACTCACTTGGGGCGCGAAACTGCGTTGAAATGAGTAAAAATGCATCAAAACGAACTAAAAGGCGTTGTAATGGCGTTGAGATGCGCGCTAGTGCATTGATTAGAGTGCTAAAAGGGCCTATTCTAAGTTAATCAATACTTATCGCACTGATTGTGCGAGTAAATGTTGATTTGTTTCTATTTAATAGTGATTGCTATTCATTCACTCGTCCAGATGGTTGGTTGCTCCACGGCAAATCGGTTGCTCGCTGGCAAATGGGCGCCGCTGTGAACATTTGAAAGCGGTCGTCTGAAAAATCGGATCCAAGGAAGGTTTCGGTGAGTTTTTCTTCATTTTTGTCGTTTCTGTGGTTATTTTTTGAATGTTGTTGTTTTCATTTATTTTGTGTGCTGTGGGTGTTCTGCCGATGGGGGGTTGGATAAGGGCAGAACTTGAAAGATTCTAGCTCCTTTCCAACTCACTTGTCGGCTTTCACCCAAGTTGCACTCATTTCTCCAATTGAGTTGTTTCACTTGGATTCTTTTTTTACTTGTTTTAATGAGTTTGTATGTACGAGTGAGTGTTTTTGTGTGTATAAAATGTTTTGCTTTCGTTGTGTGATTGCATTTTGGTGGTGGATGGCTGCGAGCGAATGTGAGTGTGAGAATGCGCCATGCTTCCGTTCCGCCTCGAATTTTTACATGTATTTGGTGCACGTTTGCTCTAAATGCATAGTTTTTTCAGCCTCCTCTCAACAGGTGAGTCTCTAATTGCATGTGTTTTGTTTACTTTCAGGTTTACTTCGGTGTAAATGCATTGTTATGGCCCAGGTATGCTTATTGCTTGTGTCTTTTCGCACTTTCACATGTGTTCTTCATTTTTTCTTGTGCGATTCTTCATTTATGTGCACGTTTGCTTATCGTGTGTGTTGTTTTGCGTTTTATTATGATGTTAGAATGTGTGCGTGTGTATGAAATACGGATATTTTTCCTTGTCCATGTTCTCTTTTCATTTTTAGTGTTTTTTAATTTGAATATGCTATTATAAGTTTCAGTAAGAGTGTTTAAGAGTGTGTATGTGTGAGAGAATGTGTGAGTGAGTATGAAAATGAGTATGTGCCATAAGATTATTTTAATAGACCACACTGATGAGCCCATTCGTTGCTTTCTTGGCTGTCTGTGGTTGAGAGGGCGAAACAGCCTTTTCGTAATTCCGCATTTTACTGAAATTTTTGTTTGTTTCCTGTTGATTTAGTTCGTTTCAGGTTTCAATTCATAACAAAGAATCACAGGTGAGTCTATTATCAATGTTGTTGGTGTTTGATGTTTGATTGAGTCGTTTGGGATGTCGCCAGTCAGGGGTCGCGCCTAGTAGTACCTGGGGCTAGTCGTAAATCTCGCGATGGATATAGACTTGCGTAGAGTTCATAGCACGCCCATTAGCTTTCCATTCATTGCCACTCGTGTTTGCAGATCTCTACAGTTTTCTTACTATCCTTGTTTCATTGTTTGATTGATTGTAATCTATCCAATCTGCTTTACTTCTCACTTCATTCGCTTATTGTTTCACGCTTTTATTGTGGTACTTGTTATGCTTGATAGTTCGATTGATTGTAATCTATTCAGTCTGCTTCAGTTCTCACTTCTATCGCTCACTGTTTCAAGCTTTTCTTGCTATTTCTTATGTTCGATTACCTTCGGTGCCACATGTCATTCTATGGTTGATGTGCATTTTTCAGATGCGCCTACCTGCCTCTTTCATTGCTGGTGCGAATGCGGAATATAAGCAGATGGTGATGCTGGCGGAGCTCATAATCTTTGCGAGAACAGCAACTGGACTGTTTTTCATGTGGTTGATATATGGTTTTTTGGTGAGTTTGTGATAATTTACAGTGTTGTATAGTGGGTATTGTAATGTCAGTGTGTTCAGAAAGCAATGTGGACCTGTCGAAAGCGAGCATCTAAGACGGCGGTTTACGACAATGTTGTTGAGGAGGAATTCCACAACGCCTGCGATTCGTTGGCAGAAGAAGAACGTGAACACTAAAAAGCATCGACAGTGGTGCGAGAAGGGATTTTTATATTAGAATATATGAATGCATTAATAAATTATTATTATTCCAGTGTGTTTTGTGATATGACTTTGAAAGTGGCCATTAACAATGTGTAGTTTCATAGGACAGACACATTTATGACTAAGCGTTTGGAGGGTAGGAAAGAAAGCAGAGATACTGTAATAGTGTGCATGTGCGAGAGTGCCCAGAGCGAACACTACAAAACGCTGAATCAAGAGCCTTTCGGTTGACCAGTGCCCCTGATCGATACACATTATATACTGCACGTCCACAGCAGCACAACGAAAATTGACTTCCTGGTGAAGTGATGTGCTTGAAAACGTTTTGGTGAATTGAGGGATTAGTGAAACGGTTTGGTTCAAAATTTGAGTTTGATCCATGCAGTATGGAGGTAGTTGACTTGGCGAGGACGGCGCCGCAGCTGTACTTCATGAGCGCCTGCTGCAAGGGGCCGTCGCAGGCGAGGTGGGCGTGGCCACACGTGGGGCATGTAGCAGCGAAGAGCCGGCGCGATGGGATGGATTTTGGATGGAAGATGTGCATCTACAGTGGGTGAGCTGTATGTCGGCTGGCAGTGAACATCATGGGAAATGACCAGCACCGTTGGATTCAGCATGGTCGAAAACCCCCGCGGGCCCGATTCCAACTGCTTTTCTCTTCTTCTAAAAAAAAAAACGCTTTTGCACCCAACATGCACCCATTTTACGTTATCCAATGGATAACGTAAATGTTCGTCATATACGAACAATGTGCGTATATAACGAACACGATTTTGGCTTGGCCAATAGTTAAGCGACAATTGGACCGCAATTTACGTTACCACTGGGTATCGTAGTTGAATTTTGCCGGGATTTGTGTTGTTTTGCAGTGTGCGTGTGCACCAAACACACTACGAAGGACGGCAACATCAATCAATAGCGGCGATTTTCGCGATTGCGTTCATTTCCCCGGCTTCTTTTCGTTGTTTTTCGCCATTTGCTTGTTTCATGTGAGCTGTGCGCCATATATGTAGCCTAAGGTCGGAAGCCTGAGCCTCTGTGAAAGCCTAAGCCTAAGCCTAAGGCTAAGTCTTAGGCTTATGGAGGGGTTAGGAGTAGCCGATGTAACGAATAGAAAGCCTAGGCCTAAGCGATGTGGTTGGAAGGGTTGCGCGATAATTTCAGTGTGAAGGTAGAAGTTTAAGCCTATGTGTAGGCATAAGCTTAAGCCTAAGTCTTGGGCTTATGCTTGCACATAGGCTTGGGACTCACCTATGACATATTACTTGAACCAAGCCTAAGGCTAAACATAAGCTTGAGCCTCGGCCATAGGCCTATGATTAGCCTTAGGCTTTGGGGTCTCCCAGAAAGAGGTAAATCAAGGAAGTGAACGCGTATCTGGCATCGCTCATTGTTTTCAACTTGTATTTTTGAATGTTATCGTATTGAGAATGCTATTTGGACGCTCGATATTGTCTCGCGTAATCGTAGTTCACGTAATTACGTACTCTCGTACTCATGTATATATTGCATGTTGGATGTCATGTCGCACTGACCGAGACCTGAGACTTCTGAGGGTGTTTATGTGGTTAATTATTTCGCTATTTTTCGAAAATGTTGTGGTGGTATGCGACGAAACTTGCGTAGAGTGGGTTTGGTCTTAACAAACCACAAATGAGACTCATACATTCCTGCTTTTAACACACACCAATTGCTTGTCCTCACTCCCACCCATGATTGGCTGCACTCTTCTGGTTCTGCGGATTCCTCTGATTCCCGTAACATCATAGCAGCGGGCCGTTCCCTGTTCACTGCGTAAAGCATTTCCTTTTTATGCATATTCCCGGAATTTTATGCATATTCCTTTCACATAAATTTGGTTTTGTCACAGTAGGCTAGGGTCTTCATTAGGGGTGTGGTTTGCTGGGACGGAAAGCGAGTCTTTTGCTTTCTGCAGCGCGGAACATCTTTTGTTGCGGGAACCCCAACCAGTCCTCCTACGATGGCTGAGCTTTGGGTTCCCACAGCGGAAAAACTTTCGCGCTTTCCGTCCTCGCGAACCACGCCCAGTTGCAGAGGGGTGTGGTTCACTAGGACGGAAAACGACTTTTTCGTGATCTTGGGTCCATCGTTGATTCACTGCGGGAACCTTGGGTCCACTGATGATCAGCGGTGGACCTGAGGTTCCCGCAGCGGAAAATGTTTCGCGCTGCGAAACGCGAAAAAATCACTTTCTGTTCTAGTGAAGCACACCCAGGGTTGGGAAGGTTTAGGAGGTTTGCGCGCTGGATCCCCTTGGCCATGGGTTCTGCAAGTGTTTCTCCATGTCCTAGTGTTTCGCAAAACGCTTTTTTACTGCTTGTCTTCCCCAAAAGCAATTTACTTTGCTAAATTTTTATCTGTATCTGAAATGTCAAAAAATGATCAAGCCATGTTGAAGTATTATTTCGGCTTTCACTCTGACGGCTGAAAGGTTCTCCATTGCTTGTTGACAGCAGCTGAATAGTTCAGAAAGGTTTGCTAGTTGTCAGTTGGTTGATCTGTCTTTTTCAGGAAAATATACGGCAGTATATTGAATGGATGGAAAAGTATGGATCAACTTAGGCCTATAGTGGCCTTTTGCCACTTTGTGCATACTTTATTAAACTACTTAAGCGGAAATGTTTGTTATGTTTTGTTCCAGTGCGTTCTCGTGTACGTGACTCCTTCTCTATTTGAAACTGTAGTTCATGTTCTGACTGTTTGTAACTTTATATCCATTGTGTTATATGCAGTAATTCGATTGCCAGACGGGTGGTGAGGGCTGTACTAATTTTACGCATTGTTCTGTTATGTGATTTAAACGGTTGCACGAAAGTTGCTTCAAAAGGCATAACGGTAAGGTTATCGCAATGAAATTGATGCGGTGCTATGCTATGGAAAAACAAAAGGAATTTTTCCAAGTGTTTCTTCCTCTGGCTTTGTTTGAATCATTTTGCGAACTTTTGCGAACTTTGTAGTTTAGCCCGCTCGCATCCGTACGTTGCCTAATTCCACCCTCTCCCTCTTGCTTGATCTCAGCCAGTTTTTTTCCCGGGCTTCGGATCGTCTGTGGACCGATTTTCAAGGGAGGGAAAATAAAACGTTGTTGTTGGCGAGTCCTGCGCCGTGGATGGAGTCTGCCAAGGAACCGTTAAGGCCGACTTCACACGGAGCGATTGGCGACGGAGCGATTGGCATCGCTCCAAAGTGTGAGCGACGGGAGATTTACCCCGCCGACGACCGATACACACGGCGCCGCTCGGGTAAATCTCCCGTCGCTTGCAGTGCGAGCGACGGGAGATTTACCCGCTGACGACCGATACACACGGCGCCGCTCGGGTAGAATTTCCCGTCGCTCGCACTTTGGAGTAATGCTAATCGCTCCGTCGCCGGGTGTGACGTCAACCTAAGATCGGTTCAGAGACGATCCTAGCTAGGCTCGGGAAAAGTGGTTGAGACCAATTAAGAGGGAGGAAGTCGAATCAGGGTGCGATATGTAGGAAGAGGTTTTGTGGGAGGGTGGGATTGTCGCGAACATTCGTCGAGGAGTTGATATGTAACGCGAAATCTCGAGCTGCTTTGGCAGTTTTTTGCTCCCAATGGAAACACCAAAAAGAAACGATTTCGCTATCAGTTTAACGCACCATATTTACTTCCAATGTTTACTTTTTTTTCAGGGTTGTTACACTTATGTGTACAATCGCTGCATCCTCTTCATTTTCATCGCTATTTGTGCCATTTGTGCCTCTGCTGGGAAAGGCCTGGGGCCTTAAGGTATGCTTCCCCGAAGAACGATCAGAGACGATCCTAGCTAGGCTCGGGAAAAGTGCTTGAGACCAATTAAGAGGGAGGAAGTCGAATCAGGGTGCGATATGTAGGAAGAGGTTTTGTGGGAGGGTGGGATTGTCGCGAACATTCGTCGAGGAGTTGATATGTAACGCGAAATCTCGAGCTGCTTTGGCAGTTTTTTGCTCCCAATGGAAACACCAAAAAGAAACGATTTCGCTATCAGTTTAACGCACCATATTTACTTCCAATGTTTACTTTTTTTTCAGGGTTGTTACACTTATGTGTACAATCGCTGCATCCTCTTCATTTTCATCGCTATTTGTGCCATTTGTGCCTCTGCTGGGAAAGGCCTGGGGCCTTAAGGTATGCTTCCCCGAAGAACGATCAGAGACGATCCTAGCTAGGCTCGGGAAAAGTGCTTGAGACCAATTAAGAGGGAGGAAGTCGAATCAGGGTGCGATATGTAGGAAGAGGTTTTGTGGGAGGGTGGGATTGTCGCGAACATTCGTCGAGGAGTTGATATGTAACGCGAAATCTCGAGCTGCTTTGGCAGTTTTTTGCTCCCAATGGAAACACCAAAAAGAAACGATTTCGCTATCAGTTTAACGCACCATATTTACTTCCAATGTTTACTTTTTTTTCAGGGTTGTTACACTTATGTGTACAATCGCTGCATCCTCTCTTCATTTTCATCGCTATTTGTGCCATTTGTGCCTCTGCTGGGAAAGGCCAGGGGCCTTAAGGTATGCTTCTCCGAAGAACGCATCGTTTTGTACTCCTTCTGACTAGTAAAGGACGCCATTCGTTACGGGTCCCACTGCCTCCTGCTACAGTGAACCCTTCAATGTGGAGCGGGGAATCCGTGAGCCAGGGGCAGTGTCGCCAGTCTAGGGGGGTGGGGGGTGAGGGCAGTCACTTGACATGCGTGAGAAGCTGGAATGTTCGAATTCAACCGCGATCGCATGGGATCCCCGCGGGTTAAGGCAGTGGGTCCCGCAACGAATGGCGCCCTATACTAGTCAGTAGGAGTACAAAATGATCACTCCTTCCCCGAATGCTTGCGGGGACGAAAGTCCCTTTAAATTTTTTGTTTTGAACGACACTGTTTCTTTATTTTCAATGCATGTTTACTTTAAGCTACACACATATATTAAATGTAGGCCCTTTATCAGGACAATCCCAGTTGGGACGACAGAGAAAATTTAAAGGGATTTTCGTCCCCCAACCCTTCGGGGAAGCATACCTTACGGCCCCAGAGCACAGACGATTGGAGGACAGCTTCTGCCTCGGTTCCAAATCCCAAGCGTGGAGGTGAGCCCTTTAGGACTAAGCCTTGGAGGGGGGAGGGACTCCGAGTGGGTGAGCCAATGCATTGTGGCAAAGTTTGAATGTGTCAGATCACAGTAATCATAAGCCGCTGTTTAAGCGAGAGAGCGCAGGTGGGAGCATCGAATCGCGGCGGTTCAAAGGACTGAGTTTAAGTTGTGAGTAAACCCTCCTTTCTGGGGCCGTATTCAATCCTCCCCCAAGGGTTGGGGGACGAAAATCCCTCTGAATTTTCTCCGTCTTCCCAACTGGGACCTGATAAAGGGCCTAGTTTAATGTATGTATGTATGTCAAAGTAAACATGCATTGAAAATGAAGAAACTACATCGTTAAAAACAAATAAATTAAAATGGATTTCCGTCCCTTAACCCCTGCGGGAGGATTGAATACCGCCCCTAATATATTTTTTCGCGCTTTTTTACACGTGACTCTTGAAAAGGCCCGCACCGCACTTTGATAAGCCGAGCGTAAGTTGGTGTTTCCTGTGTAAGCGGCGAGTGAAGTTAGTCTATGACATTCCAGGTATGTTGCTGCCCCCTTTGGAGTCCGTTTCTGATCGTTTTCACAATTTGTTTCTGATCTACGCTTTTAGGGTGGCCAAGAACGCCCTTTAATTCCGAAGGTGGAAGCATCGTGTGGTTTTCAGTAAAGAGAGGTCCCTGATATTCATTCTCATTCGCCTAGAGAAAACGTTCAGAGAGAGACCGTCACCACCATGGGCGCCTATGCTCTGATTAAACACTGAAACGAATACATTCAAAATCATAAGAAAATATTTGTTGAATAAATGTATATAGTATTTCGTGTTGCTTCGGTATTGAGTTGAAATTAGTCAAAAAGAAATAGTTTGGTGTGAAGCATGTAGGGAACGAGGTTAATATTGCGCGCATGGTCGATTTTGGGGTCCCAGCGTGGATACCCGGGCCAAGGTGTACATAAGGGGTGCGCCGATGTGAGTCGACGTGAGTTGATGTTTCTGAGCAAAACTTCACTAACATGGGTAATCGACCACGACAAAT